TTTCGAATTTCGATCTAGAATAGATTTAGATCTGGGGAATAGCTTGCGTATCGCCGTGTTTGAAAACTGGTAGTACCGGAGTGAGTGGCTGGGCGGACACGGCACACTATTGGAATGTATAGACTTATAGGTGAAAGTGTGAAGTTAGTAATTAGCATAAATTTACAAAGAAGCGAAAATGTCAGCGATCTTTTAAAATCTCACCATTTAGTCTGGAGTTTTAGGAATCTAGTGTAAGCAAAAAAGGAGTTATCGATCGGTTGTGTAAATCTGAGCGAACTCACACGGCACAGTACACGGCACGCACAGATACACACAACACACCACACACACACACACACACACAACACACACCACAACACACACACGCACACACACACCAGAATACACGCACACACGCGCACAGGTACACGCACGCACAGATTACACAACAACACACACACACACACAACAGACACACACACAAAAAAAAAAAACAGAAAAAACACAACACACATACACACACACACACAACAACAACACCACACAACACACAACACAGATCACGCACACAAGGCACAATGCACGCAAGCACGACACGACACTTCACGTGTGGCGCACGCGCGGATTCACGCGCGCACGTACGCGTCGCTCCGGTTCCACGCTTTCACACGCGTGCGGGTGCGTGTGCCGCGCAGGGATCATGTTCCACAAACGTATGAAAATTGCGTTATCATAATTTTTCTCATTGCCCGATAACATAATAGATCTATATACTTATTATATAAATATATTATATATGTAGGGCATATACAAATATATATATGGGGTAGATACTGACTAATATGTATGGGAAGGTTAAAATCTATCGCTTACTTTGATCGTCGACCAATGTCCACATTTTCAGCAGATTTCACGTACGTAGAATCGTCCGCATTCACTAGGTTTATCGAATGAATATCAGTGACGTGTAGAACTGTCACGTTAAGACACCACAGTCGTGCATTTAGAAATATAGAATAATTACTAGTTAGACTATTGTCTCAGTATATTTCTATGTTGTATCACGCTCGCAGCTCCTCAGAATGATACACCCCTCATGTCTTAGACACGTACGGGATTCTGCGGTGAAAATTACGTTACACGTATAAAAAGCTGATATGAGGTGTCTATAGACAAATCGGGACAATCCCTGGGAGTGCAGATTAAAGGATCTTTACTTTAGATTATATTTGCTAAACTGGACTTACTGCATAATAAATCCGTAGTATACCAACATATACTGTGTTACCAGATACATAATTTTACCTAATTGTTATAATTCATTATACATCAACCGCCTACGAAATTGATTGCGCCATTACGTGTTTGGAACGCTGTTTTTACTTCGTGCGAGATGTATGAGTATATTGTGTGGTGTGTGTGTGTGGGTATGTGTGTGTGTGTGTGTTGTGTGTTGGGGATGTGTGGTGTGTGTGTGAGCGTGCGTGCGTTTATGGTGCGTGTGTGCGTGCGTAGGTTAGTGCGCGTGCGCTTGCGTGTGTGAGTGCGTGCGTGCGTGCATTCGTGCGTGCGCGTGTGTGTGTGTGTGCGGGCGTGCGTACATGCGTGCGTGCATGTATGTGTGCGTGGTGCGTGCGTGCGTGCGTGAGTGCGTGCGTGCATGCGTTTGTGCGTGCGTGCGTGCGTGTGTGTGTGCGTGGTGCGTGCGTTCGTTTATGATGCGTGTGTGCGTGCGTAGGTCAGTGCGCGTGTGCGTGCGTGTGTGAGTGCGTGCGTGCGTGCGTGTGTGCGTGCGCGTGTGTGTGCCTGCGTTCGTGCGTGCGCGTGTGTGTGCGTGCGTGCGTGCTTCCGTGCATGCGCGTGTGTGTGCGTGCGTTCGTGCGTGGGCGTGTGTGTGCGTGCGTGCGTGCGTGCGTGCGTGCGTGCATATGTGATTACGTTTCAGCCATACTTACTCTGTCGTAGCGTTGATCGAGTAGCGTGAGGTTGCGTATGAAATCTGGATATCCGATCTTGTCTATAACAGCGTCAATCTACAAGCATGTATAAATGCGACTACTTAGTGTTAACCCTAAAAAAAATTGTACCCTTAATGTTTATTTATTATCCGTTTAATTATTTATAAGCTATTTGTGCTATAGGTCTTATGTCTATATATTATCAATATATATACATAATGTGTATTTGAGAATGGACTGTAAAAATATATAGTTTATAACAATAGAAATCTCGGCGCAGAAAACCCGGTCATAGCCCATTTACCCCTGACTATTTAAGGAAGGGTCTCTCTGTTGACCCTTACAATCTGCCATGTTATGCCACCTACTGCATGGTTAGACCATATATGGTTAGAGTTTGGTCTAGAGGATCCAGTCAGAAAACAGGAACACATATTTACACAGGAAAACGACAAGGAACAACAGCATTGCTTGCTGTAACAGGGTCTTAATAGCGCTATCGTTCTTTATCTTTTAATTTTGCCGACCTTCTCAATCGCAGCCCGTTTTGTCTTGTCGGACATCCATTCAACAGTGGCGACACGTTGCTTGAACGACTCCTTAATCTCCCGTATTAATTCGAGCGCCTGCGCATATCATGCAAAGTACAAGATTAATTAATCACATCAAGTATATATTATTAATTGACGTGCAAATTATTATTGGTTTATCGAACAGATTCTCTCGTTAAAATCCCGCCAGATGTCGCAACGGTTACACGAAATCTAGATCACCTTTATATAGGATGACTCAGCAAGATATCAGTATATCAATGAAGATCATTCTGATGAAGATTTCTCGAAGGGAGATCGAAAATATCGAGAGTAATTTCATTAATTTCTTGGATTTAACACAAGATAAATATGAATTCATAGTTTCAACGAAATCCAATGAACTTATTTCATTCATCAGTATATCAAGTTTACGCATTATAATAAATGTCAGTAGTCTATATAATATTACTTCGGTTATGTTGGTAACTAAGCATGAAGATACTTCACGCATTACAGTGAGAATCACGCTTAGAGAATTAGACGAAGCTTGTGCGCATGCACATTTGAACGATGGTGCTTACGGTGACTTTGCTTTGCTCTGAGAAGGTGCGATTCACGTAGATGTAACCCATGGCCATGGGCAGGCGTCTTAATGTGATGCCCATGCAGGTCAGCCACCGCGGGGACTCGGCTTGTACACCTAGAATGTCGACAACGTGGTATAAAGTGCATAGCAAACCGGATCCGCTGATATCCTCCTAGCGGATCCAGTCCATCTACGCGGGGTAGAGGGGAAGCAGTGGAGGCCATCTTGTTTTTGAAGGTCGGTCTTCATGATGGTGCATACTCTCAATCCCACCACTCGAAAAACGGCTGCGGGTACGCACGCATGCAAACACACACACGCACGCACACACACACACAGACACACACACACACACACACACACACACACACACACACACACACACAACACACACACACGACACGACGCACA